TCACAAAGCCTTTGCCTTGTTAGATTTAGGAGCCTCAATATATTTTTTAGATGAAGAATTTAGTAAAAAATATAGCATATCACTAGTAAAGAAAACTAAACTTGTTCATATAGAGGTCATAGATGATTGTCCATTATCTTTAAGAAATGTTATTCATGAAATCCTTCATATAAAATTAACAACTAATGGTCATAGTAGCTTTTTGATATTTCATATCATTAGATCTTCCTCTAATCCAATCATTTTAGGTTTATCATAACTAGAATTAGACTATGCACCTAGAACCCTTGCTACTTTTAATATCTGAATTTCTTCATCAATTGAATCAAATTAAGATCTATACAAAAATAGATCTACAAGGGACATATAATTTGATATTCATCAAAAAAGAAGATGAATAAAAGAATGCATTTCAAACAAAGTATGGACATTTTGAATACAACATCATGCCTTTTGGACTTAAAAATGTACAAGTAGCTTTCCAATATCTAATGAATAATATTTTTTGAGAGTTTTAAGATGACTTTGTTATTTGTTATCAAGACAATATCTTAATTTATTTTTTTTTAAAAAATAAACTTTATGTTTGTTAAGTTTTACAAAAATTAAAAGATAGAAGATTCTATGACAAGAAAAAAAAGTGTATATTCCACACTACTTAAGTTGACCTCTTAGGATACATCATTTCAAATGATGGACTTATGATGGGTTCTAAGAAAGTTTAAACTATTATCGATTGAAAGATCTCAAAAATAGTAAGAGATGTCCAATGTTTTTTGAAATTTGGCAACTACTATCAGATCTTTATTAAGAAATTTTTTCAAATTACAGCTCCATTTATACATTTGACTTGTAAAAAAAAACTTCAATAGAATCAAGAAACAGAAGCAATATTTGAAGCTTTGAAGATAGTCTTTATTTTTACACCAATCTTTTATTGTGTTGACTTTTTTAAGCTATTTTTTATGAAAACAAACACATTTGACTTTGCTTTGGATGTCGTATTATCACAAATGGGAATAGATGATAAAATTTTCTTGATAACTTTTTATTCAAAAAAAATTTTAGTAGTCGAGATCAACTACAAGATTCACAACAAAAACTTCTTGTAGTTATAGATTTTTTTTTAAGAATAGAACCATTATTTAGAAGGTGCTTTTAATCTAGTCATTGTTTATACTAACCATAAGAATCTTAAATATTTTATGTTAACACGTGTTTTGAATTATCACCAAGTATGTTAGAGCATGTCTTTATCAAGATTTGATTTTAAGATCACTTATCTACTTGAAAAATAATAAGATTTATCAAACGCTTTTTCTAGATATTTTTATCTTACACCAAAATATATATATATATATATATATATATATATATATATATATATATATATATATATATATATATATCTTTTGTTCACCAAAGAATAATTTTCTTGAAGCCAAAGAATTTTTATCTTCAAGCAATAAAATTAATATTGAGTATTAATTCAACCTTTGTCAAAAAAATTCAATCAAGTATGTCATGACTTTCCAATGGGCAAAAATTTTGAATACTATAAGACTTAAGAACTTATATCTAAAGATTTTTGGTGGCTTTAAATGTAGAAGGCAGTGAAAGACTTTGTCTAGTCATATGATGTTTGTTCAAGGTCAAAAACTCCTTGTTATGAATCCTAAAGACTTCTCCAACTATTATCTTTTCCAAAACAATGATAGTCTTTTATTTCTATGGATTTTATTAATAATCTTTCAATTTCATATTCTTACGACTCTATATTTGAAATAATAGATCATTTTACGAAGATGGCACATCTTGTACTATGTATAAAAGCTATCACATGTGAAGAAACACCTAAGCTTTTCCTTAACAACATCTATTACTATCATAGATTGCCAAAGGATATTATATTAGATAGAAAAACTCAATTTGTATTAAGATTTTAGAGAATAATTTTTAAGATGTTAAAAGTGGACATAAAACTAACTTCGGCTTTCCATCTCCAAAATGATGTACAAACAAAGCATGTAAATTAAGTTTTGGAGTAGTATTTGAGGTATATCATTAACTACCAATAAGATGATTGGACAACTCTTTTGTCAATAGTAAAGTTTGCTTATAATAACACAATATATTCTTCTATGCAACAAACCTCTTTCTTTACTAATTATGGTTATCATTTACAACTTGATGCTTTTGACTTTTCAAAAGTTGATAATCTTACGATAGAAGATTTGACAAATCATTTATTTGAGCTACATACAACAATGAAGGCATGGCTAAAAGAGACTTAAGAACAACAAAAGAGCAACACAAATGCTTATCGCAAAGAACAATTTCATTTTTATATTGGTGATAAGATATGATTACTTTGTCATAATATTAAAACTATTTTTCTTGGTGATAAGTTGGATTATCATAGTCTTAAACCATTTCTTATTTGTAAATAAGACAATCTAATCACTCATCGATTACATCTACCATTGTCTATGAAAATCCATCTTATATTTCATGTGGCTCTTTTAGAGCCATATAAGAAAGTGGATATCTTGAGAAGAAGACAAATACTACTACCTCCTATAGAAGTGGATAATAATTAAGAATTCAAGGTACAAAAAGTCTTAGACTCAAGATGGAAATCACATAGGGTTGAATATTTTATTTACTAGCACAGATACAATATTAGAAAATACACATGAGAGCCAAGAAAAAATCTTACAAATGCAGCAAAGAAGGTCAAAGCTTTTCATTTATGACATCCATTAAAACCAAGATGAAAAATAGCAAACTTTTATTACAAGAAAATAAATTATGAAAGATTACATTCTACCTTCTATTCTTGTTTGTAGTTTTTATATAATTGTGACGTTAAGGAGATGGAAAACAAATAGTGAGCGGATTCAATTCAAAAGCCATCATTTATTGACTTACTGGACAAGACATTGTAATTATCACATCCTTCAAGATGATATAATAGATGTAAAGACCTTCAAGAATGACATATTTTTCCTCAAATAGATGGAAAAATATAATGTGTTTGATATCACAACCTGAGAAGAAACTCTCAATGTTTCGTACTTATATTGGAGGTAGAAATGACTTTTGATGGTATTACAAATGTTTTATTTGAAAGAAGTTACAAATGTTTCAACAATGATTAAATAACATGGTAGTCTTCCCACCTTGGAATGAGATATTATTAGTGGCTGAGAGCATCCATCAACTACCTTCAAAAGAAACAAAGATCAGAATACATGGCAAATATAATTTGTTGCATCTTAGACTTCCTCAACATATAAGCACCGCTTCTCGTAGAACTCGTCCCTAAAAAGAGGGATAATGTCATGAATACATATCTATTATAATTATTATTTAGGTAATATGAATAGGTAGAAGTAAGTAAAAGTAGATTAATTTCATAATAACTTCTAGAAAAGCTTCTTAAAAGCTTTAGATGCTATTTTGAGTTTATATGTGTTTATAGTTGATTGATAGATTAGAAACTTGATCAATAAGCTAACCACATGTCACATGTATTGGTAGCTTACAAAACAAGCTAATTATATGGCACCCATATAAAAAACTTGCATCGCAAGTTAAGATATGTATTATATAAAATCAACATGTTTTTGGAGGTCTTATAGAATGTTGCCACATAGATCCTAGATAGATAGTATATATAAAGGCAAGTGTTATGAATTTAAAATATTGACTGAAAATCTAAACAAGAAGCTCAAGAAGAATCGACAAGAACTAGATTAATCAGATGAGTACAAGAACAACACTAGAGAGGTGAGCTAGAGCTCCAAGAGGTGTATTGTTGAGACTGAGGATCCCCTCAGTCTCGACTCTTATATATACTATAAGGTAGGAAGCTTCTCAAGTAGCTTCCACAAATTAGGAAGCTTCTCAAGCAACATCTACAAGTTAGGAAGCTTCTCAAGCAACTTCCACAAGCTTGAAAACTTCTCAAGTAGCTTCTACAAACTACAAAGCTTTTCTAGGACCTTCTAGAATCTTCTATAACTTCCTAGTGTATGTCCTTGACAACAAGAGTGAAGTCTTCTTCACTCTTATCAACTCCTTTTTTACTTCTAGTCTAGTTTCAAGAGTCTTTAATTTCCTTGTCATTTGGCAATAGCCATTCCAATTTCTTCCTTAATATACATACTTCTCTATTTCTATTTTGTCATATTTCTTTGAGAGAGTTTCATTTGTTTATTTACTTTCATTGAATTCTTGTCCTTGACACGCCACCATATAGCTTCTAGTTAGATAATATTTATAAAGACAAGAGTGAAGTCTTATTCATTCTACCTTTCTAGTCTTTAGTCTTATGTCAAGATTTTTTAATCTTCTTGTCTTTGGCAATAGCCATTCTAATTTAATATCATACCATCTTTGAATGATTTTCTAATATTTTCAAGTAATTCAAGAGTATATTGATATTTTAGCTCTTTGAAATTCATATCCTTGATATTATTTAATATATATATATATATATATATATATATGAGATTAAAAATATGCTTTTATAAAATATTATAAAAAATATGTTGGATTTGGATGCAATTTAAAAGTATTTGATGTATCAAGGTTTTTTAGGAAAAAAATTAGAATATTATATCAAAGTTATTAAATAACCTTCAATGAAATAAATTAATTCATACTTTTATTTTATTTAACTATAAGTTGATATAAATTAATTCATACTTTTATTTTATTTAACTATAAGTTGATATATTTTGACCTACATATAATTTGAATATAATTTGATTCATTTCATTGCCTTACCTCCCTTTGTACTCTATCCAAAGTTAGGAGCAATTCTTCACGAAGTAAATAATCTTTACAAGACTTTTGTGCCATGATTTTAGAAAGCTGACTTCTTGATATAAAATCTTCCTAAGTTTAACGTTTGTTTACACTCCTGAAAATGATTGATATATGAAGTTTAAGCTGAAATAAATGCTTCGTTTTCCAAGGACTCAGGTACATTGTAAGGTGCAATGCTGTCAAGTTTTGAGGGGTTTTTCTTGTGGAGTTCAGTTTTAGGATTTCAAAGTCCAGTGTCTACAAAGGTTTAGGGCGCAATGTCGTTGTCCCGAGCAATTCTTTTCGATTCGGCGCAACATCCGCAGCATGACTGATTCGGAATCCGTTTAGCAGACGCAAACACAGTCACCCAATTCCATATTACGGTGCTCTTATTGTGTTTGAACTTGACAATTAGTAGGATCGATTTGCAGAGATGGTGAGATTGGCAAATGCTTTTTTTTCCATTCACGACCTTTCAATGGTGCCCTGTCGAAATGATGCGATCGAGTTCAGTGATATGTGTTTCACTGAGGGTTTTTCTGTAGCTTTCTTGGGATGCTGCCAAGCCAGGTTTCGAGGGGTCTGGGTATGGGTTACCGATTATCATTCTCGTTCAGTCTTGTCCCTAAACGCGAATTCCGAGGGCTGTTCTCGAGATGGGAGTTTCGTTTCAGAGGCTGATGACATTGGGTCTCGTGGGTGAGACAGTTTAATCTCTGTCACCAGACCATTGGAAGGTGTGAAACTCTAATTTTTGCTCAGTATTGTTTTTGAGGATGTCGAGGTGCAATTCTGCCTCTGCACTATGGTGTTTGACTTAATGTCAGGGTGCATGTGTTTTGGTCAGTTGGAAAGATGACGATTTCGAGTCTTTTTGGGTGGGACCACTCTTAGAGATTTGGAGTAGTGCGTTGAGCTTGTGAGCGCGGGATCTGCAACCTCTCGATCTACGCACCTGAAATCCAAAGGGAGTGGAGTTTGTGGTTTGAAAACCATCCTCGTCTTTCTCAAGAGGGCGTGGATTTAGATTTCTTCAATTAGGCTAGTAATGAAAAGCAATTTGCCTAGACACTCACAGTCTCGGCCCATGTGGTGCTTCTGCGGGTTGATGTCTACTTTGTTGGGCAACGACGCTTCTAAGTGTGTAGATTACTAAGGCATGAAGAACTTGTCTGAAGCCGGCGATTTTCTGGAATTGTTTGAGGTTGTAGTGATTTTGAGTGCATGTATGACGGTCTTGTTGTTACCTGCTGGGCTGTTAGGCATAAGCTGAGGCGGCGAATGCTCAGTTGTAGGTCCTTCAGCGAGATTTTTAGTGTTACGTGCATTGTGATCCTCAAACATTCTGTTTTAGGAGGTCCAATTTTTTTTGTTGGTCTCTTCCGTGGCCCATAAGGTTTCGCGATAGAATTTCTTTTCTGCACTACACATTATTTGGGCGTTTACTTAGCGTTTGTAACTGAAGCTGAAGCTCAATGCCAAATCTTCGGTGAGATCCAAAATTTGCAATTTATTTCTTAGTTCAGGAGACTATCTGTGAAGATTCGAAGAGCACAAGAGTAGTGTCCTTATTTTGGCACTAGATGTGTGTAACTCACATTCATCTTAATAGAAGACCGGGTTGCATTCTTCACGCAGCCTTTGGTTGTATACAGAAGTTTCCTAGTGTTATATTGTCCGCCCATGATGTGCCTATTGCTCGACACACTGCAAATGTGTTGCACACCGTTTTCTGTCACATCGCATCATAGAGAGAGGCAGCAATAAGGACAATTTATGGGCATGAAGGTTTTAGCCTAGTACACCAAGACCGGGGGCACTGTATAACATCCATGGTGGCGTTCATGGACTCTGTTTAAAACGGTATATAATCATGTTAGGCAGCAACGCATGTGATCGTAAATCATAATCCTTGGAATAGGAATCCCTTGTTCTACTAGCATACACCTAACGTTGTATATATGTTTTAGGTGATAAGGTAGTGGGACAGTTACACGGATTAATGTTACAGGTATTGGGGTGGCTTGCACTGAGGGTCGTTGCACTCTAAATGTCAACTTCGAAGTCTTCAGCACCATAAACAAGTACCCATTTGCATAGGGTATCCCAACAAGTTCTACACGTAGCCTCTCGTCAACTAGTGGTGTAAGGTTCCGAGGTTTTCTGGCAGGGCTATTATCCTCATTCTTGCTTGTAGTTTTGAGTCAGTTTTTTTCTAATTATTCCCGTCATATCACTCTGTAGTCGAAGTACAGTTACTCCTCAAGTATAATTTGTGCAGATCTGATTTGTTCAGAAAAGTTTTAGTTTTCAGTTCTAGATGCCAAAGTATATTTTTATTCCTGTTTTAAGGCGATTGTCCATTAAATAAAATATTGACTTCAGCATGCAGCTGTCTTGGACTTCACTTTCGTGGATCTTCGTGAAGGTATTGCGAGGTGATTATTATTTTTAATAACCAATGGACTTTTGCAAAACTTACAAGCTTAGCAATTTTTCGTCAAGTTCATGTGATGTGATGCTCAGATGGTGCCCTGTGAATGATCTGTGATAGATATGGTGAATTTGGTACTTCTATCCTTCAAGCTTTCTATTCTAGCACTGATGCGATCACACCATGCATCAGTTCTCTTATACTGTACTGATTTGATCAGACCTATCTTCTAGATTTCTGGTACGTCGTTGTCCACTACGTGCACAACTTTTTCATGTCCACATCCACTGGAAGGAAACTGTGTTGGTGCAGCTAAGCAATGTTAAGATTTGTGTAACATTCTAACTTTGCTGAGACACAATTTTCCAGTGCACGAACACGTACAGTAAACTGCATGCTTTCACTAGTGTGCAGGGGTAAATTCTTTACGGAACCTCTCTTTCAAAATGCGTATTCCTGTCGTCTTCGAGGTGTAACGCGCAAACTGACATATACTATAGAAGTCTCAATAAAACGGGGCAAATATCTCGACTGCTGAAACCACGGGAAAAAGAAGATTCGATTTCGTTGTTTTCTGCGTTATGATGCGTTCAGTGAGGAAAAGATTTTTCACGTTCTGACGTGGACAGAACCTCGGTTACTTTCATTCAGCTGTCCCCATTCTTTTCTCTCCAGTGTATTGCATGAAGCTTCATGCTGTGAAAGATAAGAAACTACCGATTCCACTAGACTAAATCAAGTTAAATTCAACTGATGAGCGATAACTAGATTTACATGCAATCACATCACTCCGACATGCGGCGACCGTCCTTCCTTCGCTTAGAATAACCACATCTGCACCCTGATAGGCGGTCTTGCATCTAGTGTGTGGATCACTCACCACACGAGAGTATTGAGCCAACCAATTTCTTTTATCTGAGGCGAAATCATTTAAGTGTAAAAGTGGGTTGCAGAATAATGCCGCGGATGGCAGCAAAAGGAAATCACTCGAAAAGCGAAGGTAACAGCGAAGACCAAACGCCACCAGCGCTTTTGGAAAAATATCTTTCCTTTAAATCACTGCTACTCTGCTCGGTTTCAGCTGTCCTGCCATTCACAGCACCTCTGTTGTAGCACTTGTTTTCTCAACTAGGATTGAACTTCGAGGAGGTGGTGCACAGATCCGTCAGTCAGTGTTGGAGCAATAATTAGAACGGCGGTCTCTGCGATATTGTGCGGCACTGCTGCGCAAGCTCGTAAAAGAGCTTGTTGAGCTCGAGGTATGGGTGTTTCAGCAGCACTCGGAGCTCAAGCTCCCATAGCATTGAGCGTCTCGGGAGCTCTCGGTGCCAGTTCTTCACTGAGAAGAGAGAGCGTTTGCTCAACTTCTGGGTCGTCGTGTTGCAGCTGGAAGATGTCTATCAGTTCTGGAATCAAGGTAGGTGTCTTGGAAGGCAGCAGCGATGCTGCATTGCCGTGCTCGAATGGTATCCGAGCTGTGGCTAGCGAGCCCCGGGCGAAGAAAGCGTCGGCTGCGGGGGAATCTGACAAAGGTTCGCTTTGTTCCCTCCATTTTGGCCGAGTTTCCGTTTTTTCTCGCCTCCAAATCCTGTAGGAGATGCCTAGGCCTGTATTTGCTAGTATGTCCTTTGGGTTACAGTTCCTGTTTAGAACGAGATGGGTGTTGAAATTTGTGGTGACTGGTACTGGATATGGACAATTGAGCCGCTAGGGGTACATTCCTATGGAATGCCTCCGATTTTTGATGTCGCTTTCAGTGTGTCAAACGCTACGTAGGTAAAGAAATCAGGGTTGCATTTTCGTTGTTTGATTTTCTTATTACTGTGGAAGATAAGGCCGAATATCAGACTCTCAAATTAGAGGAATCAGTCACATGAATGTAGTGTATATCAGGAAGAGGTTTCGTCCTCACCTGTGTCTCGTTGATGTTTTTGCACTGCGCTGGTACTGTTGTATCCGTTTTCTTTGCCTTCGGCGAGAGCGGAATTTGGTGTCTTCGGAGACATGGCAGGTGGTTAGTGGACTCTGTTGCCCGCATTGTTAGCATATGTCCTGATTTGTCGAGGATATTCAAGTGATAACTTGTGGACCCAATTGTTTGCGGTAGAGGATATCGTGTAACGTTCTCATTTTACAGTGGTGTCCTGGTGTTGTGCTGTCAGATATCAAGCCCCAAGCCAACCCTCTCTCAACAAATCCTTCCGAGATCGCCTCTAACATCAAGTACCACGCTGAATACACCCCTTCCTTCTCGCCATACAAGTTTGAGTTGAAGCAAGCATATGTTGCTACAGCGGAGAGCTTGAGGGATACGCTGATTGAAAGATGGAACCAGACGTACAAGCACTTCTCGAAGGAGAATGCGAAGACCATTCACTATCTGTCTATGGAGTTTCTGCAGGTTTGTATGCTCTTCGCTTTTGAGTATCTGAGAGTTGCGCTTCAGTCCTTTTCTATGTCCCTCTTCTTCTAGATGATTGCTTTATGTAATGGAAGATTCTCCTCTATCTCCCTGTAGTTGCACGTGCGTAACTCGGTAGGTTCAATGAATAAATGCCCACTCTAGTAGTTGTAGTTTTCGTTGTCGAGTAATGAGTTGGGTGTGTTTGATTGATTCAGGGAAGAGCCCTGCTGAATGCCATTGGCAACTTGGAGCTAAATGACGCGTATTCCGAAGCCCTTCACAAACTCGGCTATGACCTCGAAGCTGTCGCCGAGCAGGAGCCAGACGCTGCCCTTGGTAATGGAGGGTTGGGCAGACTGGCTTCGTGCTTTCTGGACTCCTTGTCCACTTTGAACTACCCTGCGTGGGGCTATGGATTGCGCTACAAGTATGGGCTCTTCCAGCAATCTATCACCAAGGATGGTCAGAAAGAGCAGTGCGAGAAGTGGCTCGAGGTTCATTCGTTGCAGCAACCCTTTAATGTTCACTTCTAATAGAGATTTCATTCCTTCATGCTCTGCAATTTCTAATGTTGAACTGGAAGTTTTCGGAGGGTAATTATCTTTCATGTAGGATTGAATCGTGCCTGCTGTATCACAGATGGGCTACCCGTGGGAAATTCCAAGGAACGATATCTCCTACCCCATCAAGTTCTTCGGCCAAGTGGCGGAGGGTCAGGGCGGAAAGAGAGAGTGGGTGGGAGGTGAGAATGTGAGAGCATTCGCATACGACGTGCCAATCCCTGGCTTCCGCACTAAGAACACTATTAGTCTGCGGTTGTGGTCTACCAGAGTCGCAGCTGAGGACTTCGATCTCGCTGCATTCAACTCTGGCGACTACAGCAAAGCCGGCGAAGCTCATGCCAATGCTGAAAGAGTATGTATACTTCCGCTTGCTCGCTGAGTGTATTTCGTGCTAGTAATTTTCTTCACAACAATCGATGAATTATTGATATGATTATATGATCAAACGTCTTATGTCCACTGCTGCAGATTTGCTATGTGCTCTACCCTGGGGATGCCACCGAGGAAGGGAAGCAGTTGCGGTTGAAGCAGCAGTACACACTCTGCTCAGCTTCCATTCAGGATATCATGGCGCGCTTCAAGGAGAGGTCGAAAGGTGCACTGAACTGGGATGCCCTACCTTCTAAGGTGGCTATCCAGATGAACGACACGCACCCCACTCTTTGTGTTCCTGAATTGCTTCGTATCCTCATCGACGAAGAAGGTCTTGCCTGGGACGAGGCCTGGAAAATTACTCAAGCGTAAGCTCTCTGGAAGCCTTTCTCGTGTTCTATTGCATCAATTCTTCGCACTCCCCCCAATTATTATTGAATTGTGGGATGTGGCACTGATTCCTTCATTTTGTATCTGCGTTCAACAGGACTGTTGCTTACACAAACCACACCGTCCTCCCTGAAGCATTGGAGAAGTGGCCTTTGACTACGTTCCAGAAGTTGCTTCCACGTCACGTTGAGATTATTGAGACTATCGACGAGCAGTTCATGAGCTTCGTTGCTGGCAATGTAGAGAAATCAGAGTTGGAGTCAAAGATTGCAAGCATGCGTATCCTCGAGAATGTTGATCTTCCTGCTTCCATCCAGTCTCTTCTACCACCAAAGCCTGTCAGGGAGAAGGCGAAGAAGGTGAAGCCAGTCACTGATGCTGCAATCAAAGAGAACGGTACCAAATCACCCGTCAAGGAAGCAGCAGCGGAAGAGGAGGAAGAAGAGGAAGAGGAGGTTGTCCCTCCGAAACCCGCGTCCACAGTGCGAATGGCCAACTTGTGTGTGATTGCCGGGCACAAGGTGAATGGAGTAGCTGCCATTCACAGCCAAATTGTGATTGACGAAGTTTTCAACGACTTCTATCAGGTATGCACACCTTCGCAATTGAATCTGGAAAACTTTATCTGCAGTGACTCTCTACTCTCGCGTGTGGAGTGCTTTGTCGGCGGTTTACATTTTGACATGGTTTTTACCGTGCAGCTCTGGCCGGAGAAGTTCCAGAACAAGACCAATGGAGTAACACCCAGAAGGTGGTTGAAGTTTTGTAACCCTGAATTGAGCTCAGTCATTACCAAGTGGCTCGGCTCAGAGGAGTGGGTACTTGACACCAAGCAATTATCAGGCCTCCGCAATGTATGCCGTTCCCCTCACCCTGAAGTAGCCCAACACTCTTTCATCTTATCAACATTCTGGTCGGTTTTGCTGTACATGAAATTTTCTCGTAAGTGTTGTTCAGTGGTGCTTTACGTAGTCTCTAAGTTGTTCAGTTGGTGTAACAGTTTGCAGACAACAAAGAGCTGCAACAGGAGTGGGTGAACGCGAAGGTTGCAAGAAAGGCTAAACTGGCTGCGTACATTAAATCCAAGACTGGGTACACAATCAATCCCAATGCCCTCTTTGATATTCAGGTGAAGCGTATTCACGAATACAAGAGGCAACTGCTCAACATCATGGGTGTCATTTACCGGTACAAGAAGATGAAGGAGATGAGCGAAAAGGAACGGGCTGCTAAGTACGTACCCCGCGTCGTCATGTTCGGAGGAAAAGCTTTTGCTACCTACTGGCAAGCCAAGCGGATTGTGAAGCTCATTACAGATGTTGCTGCAACTGTTAACAACGACCCTGAAATTGGGGACTTGCTGAAGGTAATTATGGTTCCTGACTACAATGTCAGTGTTGCAGAGGTTCTTATCCCTGCAAGTGAACTCTCACAACACATAAGGTACATCTTTTCACCTGCAAACTCCTCATCCTGTATCTGTTACATTCCAGTGTGTCTCTTAGGCCACTGTTGATGAGATTTTATTTTATATTTTGTTTTATTTATTTATTTATTTTCCTTCTTCTTCTTCTTCTTCTTCTTCTTCTAGACACTTGATTGCGGTGTGTGCTGATCCATGTTGTGTGGTTTGGTTTCAGTACTGCGGGAATGGAAGCAAGTGGCACGAGTAACATGAAGTTTTCGATGAATGGATGTGTCCTGATCGGCACTTTGGACGGTGCCAATGTCGAGATCCGGGAAGAAGTTGGAGAGGACAATTTCTTCTTGTTCGGAGCATACGCCCATGAAATTGCTGGACTCAGAGCAGACCGCGCTGCTGGCAAGGTATGCCTCTGTAGAAACTAAACTGCTTCTTACGGTCCGCTTTCTGCAATAAACTCAAATGCTTGCATTACTCCAAATTATGCTTCAATTATGTCAATGAGAATTAATTGATCAAATCAGGTTGCTACTGCCGTCGGTATATATATAGATCTTACTAAACGATGGTACAATTGGCTTTGATGTAACAGTTCCAGCCTGATCCGAGATTCGAAGAGGTGAAGAGTTTCATCAGAAGTGGGGTATTCGGCGACTATGATTACAATGAACTTCTGGGATCTTTGGAAGGTGACTCTGGCTATGGAAGAGGAGATTACTTTTTGGTCGGACACGATTTCCCAGCCTACATTGAATGCCAAGACAAGGTTGACGAAGCATATAGAGACCAGCAGGTATACAAACTTATCCACCTGAATCCCTGACGCCTTAAGCATTTGCCTTCATTTTAGTGCAAATTCTTTATAATTCAGTGTTCCTCCTCACTAAACCCGACCCTTTTTCTTGTTGCAGAGATGGACGAGGATGTCGATCATGAATACTGCAGGATCGTACACATTCAGCAGTGACCGCACCATCCATGAGTACGCCAAGGACATTTGGGAAATCACTCCCTCACCTCTGGAATGAGTGATCTTCACACCATGATGTCGAATTCCAGCACAACTCCTACGCGTTGAATTTTTCTATGCCTCGACGTGTGAGGAAATGATTTATTTTATTTCATTGCACTAGGCTTGTAGAGTTTGATTTGCGATGTATGCTCCCTACAGGCTAGATTTCGGAAGAACTGTTTGTAGTCTCTTCCACTTCATCAATCTCTACAGCTCTGGCTCATGCAATACTGAAACTTCCTAGTAGGTTCAATATCCTTCCATGTTATCCGAAGAATGGAACACTTCTTAATCTGTAATTCCTGTTGATACAAGGAATAATTTGCAAGCAACATTTTTGTTGCCAGTTTTGGGTCGAAATTTGTTCAACTTTGTACCAATTGTTACCTATTGAGGCATGAGTTGTTTAATCTCCTATTATGTATTCCTCACAGAAGAATAAAAGACCCGAGAGATATTCTAAGCCATCCTTGTGAGGATAACTTTGTAAGGAAATGCAGGTTACTCATCAAACAAGTTACATAGTAAACGCATGAAAATAACTAGTTTATTGAACTGATCCTTATCATAACATCAATTACGAAACTTCCATTGCAAGTACTATTCTACTAAAGAATAATTGAAATCAAATTGAAATTTTATACTACACATTTAATTGAACTGCCATTCTGTTTTCATACTAGACACCCTTAAGCATATTCCGTTGAAGAACATGAATTGGGTCGAATTGAAAGCTTCTTATCATTGAAAGCATTCATGCTGATGTCAAATTCTGTATCTTCTTGTGGTTTTCACTAAACTCGGTTAGTAACGGCGAATCGAACATTGAGAGTATCGTAATTTCCACAGTAACTGGGGGGAATGCATATAATAAGGTGAAGGTGTATGCTAAGGTTCACTGTTTCGTCACTAACTCCACCTCTTGTTTCCACATGACCTTTATTCTTTGATCTTTTTTAGCTCCGGGGATTACCGTCAGTTTCTAAACCCGTGCTGATTTTGGTAGCACAATCAATCACTGCTTTACAATTCTTTGTGGTTTCTTTGAGATTCCAATCTTTGAACAGAGTGAATACTTTCATTTCAACTTGTTTCAACATTTCAGGCTAGTGCTTGTTTGTCCACTTGGAGTGTAGCTCGCATTCGGCATTGTGGGCAGTCCGATGTGGGTCTACTACACTCGGACTTGTTTCTGTTGTGAGCTGTGTTGTCACGTTTGATATAATCTGTACAAGTTAATACATTTAAGCTTCTCTCAGTTGTTATGTGGATGTTCGTGATCTCGCATGTATTCTTTGAAACAAAGTTTGCATGTGAGTCATTCTCTAAGTGGCTCACCCTTTGCAAAATTTCATTTCATTATCGAGATATCCTCTGCACTCTACGGAGATCCCAAGGATATTTTATCTTGGCTGCTGCATTCGTAATCATAGTGGTTTTAAAACGCTCCATCCCTGCTTTTGGGTTCTCTCAAGAAGAGGCTGTTCAATTAATATACATCAACTCTGGTTCTATCCATGAAACGACGGAATTTCAAATGCAGAATTTTTCTCTTCTCTGTATGCAACTCTCTCCTGTTGACCAGAATGATACAGTGGCAGCAGCAGAGCAAAAAGTTTCCGAAGTGAAGGCGTCGGATACAGAGGGACAGAAGCAAGAACCGCCGGTTGCAACGATTACAGTATTGTCGTGGCTGGTTTGGTCTTGTGTGGCCTGTGGTCTGTTGGTACTGCCATAGCTAGACTATTCATTCGCTGAACAGACATAATGCCGTGCAAGGCTTCGCCAATTCAAGAAATTATCATCCGATAAAGCTCTCACATAATGACTATGAAAGCTGTCAAAGACCGAAAAATGTTTCTGTCATTTTGAAGGGGTTCTGTATTTGCTCTTAAGTTGGTGGATCGGTCATGCAAATTATAGAGAGCTACAAAAGTTCTCGGGACAGCGTAAGGGAAATCCTTGAAGTCAAGATTTTGGAGGAAGTATGATCAGTACTTAAAATCTCAGTTGCTTGCAGTTTCGACTTCATGAAGGCAAGGATTGAGTATGTCGATGCGTCGACATTTAAAAGAGATCGTTACAGTTATTTCAATCGTCGGGAGGCTACGCATTCTACACGGCTACAGAAGCAACCTGCAGGTATGTATCCAGATTTACACACACGCTTGTGCGCAAACTATTTGATCAACGTGAGTGTCGGTAGATTAATCGCCAAAGATCTGTGACTACTGTACTTGATCCCTGACATAATGAGATGGGACCTTTTCGCCCTGGAGCATTGGTCTGCTACATCTCCCAGTCGTACGAACATTTCGCAGGGAGATAAATGCCCGCCATCTGAAAATGTCTTTAATCGATTGTATCCTCACAAACCTCACTTTCAATCTCCAGGTGCAATTTTTACATGGTCTGACTGCCTGGAAGTTACAAAACATCAGCCTGCCACAACCCTAAGACTTTTCGATGACATGTATTTTGCACCAAGCAATCTATCGCCAACAAGGTGATTCTTTCTCTGCAGTTCCTCACTCCGACGTGGAAAAAGACGCGACACACTAACCGTAAGCTGGACTTGTGACCTCGGATTCTTGACATCATTCGGAGCCAGAGAATGATTTGCTAAAGTCTATGGTTCCAATGATTTCCTGTTATTTAGTCCAACCAGCTGTATCAGCGACTTACAATGCTTCGCACTTGAAGAAGCAGTACCTTGTCAAGGTAAGATAGAGAGCAACTCACAGGATTCTCTCTCGCTGCTGCGGATCTCGATGTCACTAATCTTCTGCTCACCTGATTAGTAGTTGAAATCTTTTTCTGTCGCATGGTCAAGACTTGTACCCAGTTCTTGACACCAAAATTCACACTCTAAGTTACACAAACTAGGTTGAAGATCATCTTACGCAACCATGCAGAGTGGAGGAAGGTCCATGGAGCTCCATAGGGCTTCGTGGTCTTGGCTTGTGCACTCGCCAGCGCCATCGCCATCCGTTTTCAGGTCTGTAGTTGTGGTGGTTTCCGTGCTGCCGCTGGATTGACCATCCCATGTGCTCGTATCGTTCACCCTCCAAAGCGACGGCGACGAGTTAGAGAGATGCGTGTCGGGAGGGGACAAAGGGAGACCGCGTAGACTTGACTCGTGTGGCGACATGCAATAGTCCGGTTGGGTTAGCAGCACGCATTCTTGAAAACTGTCGGATGTACAAGGCGAACTGTCGAACTGCACCCGGAGCATGAAGTCGCTGTTGTCAGACAGATGCTCTTCCACCACACTTGTGCAGGAATCTCTTTCAATGGTTTCAGTGAAATCGAACGTGGAGTTGTACACTCCCGAGCTTTCACAGCTTAGGTCTAACCCTAGCAACCCGGACTCCATGCCTGTCGTGTCTCCCCAGATGTAATCCTGCCATGGAATGTCAGGGCCATGAAGGTTTGAAAATCCTTTTTCTCTAAGATCGCAGATCTCGGGTGATCTTTTCTCCGACTCCGTGCCATACATCTCAGTGTTTGTGTAGTCCATCTGTCCTTTAGGGACCGACGAAGCCAGAGGTTCACAACATTTTGGCTCCATCATGCATTTGGCAGCATCCAGAGTCATGGCATCGTCTGAGTTTAAGTGTTGAGCGATGCTCCTCAAGCTCCTCTGTCTGTCCAGGATCGCATTGTTGTTGCTCATCCCGGGATCGAGGTCTCCATACCTCTCAGATTGATATATGCTTACGTGATCCCTGTTGGTAGAGCACGAAAGTTGTTGCTGGGAAGAAGCATCATGGTGGGAGCACCCCACAAGTCCAGACATATTATGATCTGTTCTAAACTGTTGTCTCGACGCTTCTAATGGTACGATAAGAAAGGGATTTGGAGATTGAGGTACGAAGTTGTCAACTGGGAGAGTGGAGAAGCTCTCAAATGGCGAAGATCCATGCCACTCTTCTGCTCTTTGCGTTGAGTAATGGGTTTGCTTGCTGAACTTGACGTTCGTAACTGCAACTTCCGATAAACCACTGCTCACCAATTGTGCCTCTCCATCAGCCAGATTTTGTGGTTGTATGCAATCTTGAGGGATACTGCACGAGGGAAGACTAAGACGAAGAAGAGTGGGAGAAGAGTCTTGCAGGGATGCAATAAGTCTCTGATTCTTCGCATTGGAGGGGTTTTCAGATATGATTGACTGCTGAGGTTCCAGCTTCGGAGGGGAGCGATCGGGAGAGGGGAAGCTACCCACCTCAAGCTTGGGGCCTCTGTCCACTGCGCTTCGATCATTATCGGTAGGATTAGGAGCAACATCTTCCTGATCTGCTTTTGCAGATGTTAATGGTGCATTGTGTCTGCGGCCAATCAGACGAGCAGGTTTAGGCGGGGACGAAGGAAGGTGGGGAGGAGTATCATCTACAGCAGTACGTGGATTGCTGGAGTGCTGAAAATCCTGTCTCACCAGAGGAGAAATCACCTGGTCTTTGCTATCGTCCTGGCTCCTCCGGAGATGGTCTTTTGGCTCCGGTGATTGAGTGACATTTCGAGCCTCTTTCTCGCTGGCTTTTGAAGCTGCCGCTATTTGCCTAAGGCGAATGAGGCGAGTTGCTTTTGAAGCAGGAACCGTGCTCTCACATGCCATACCGGGCACGAAATTTGTGCGGGTGTTAGCCCCTCTTAAAGCTCTTGCAGCTGCAAATAACAAATTGTTACCATGTATCACCTGTCAGTCCATCCTTGAATCAAAATATTGATGCTAGCTATCCTCAAGGAATGATTTGAAGAGGATAATGGCAAACAGTTAACAGTTACAATTCTCATGAACATACCACTATCATATGCCTTCGCTCCCTCCTCTGCGGAATCAAATGTCCCCAGCCACAAACGAATCTTTTGTGTGGTGTCTTTGATTTCGGCAACCCATCTCCCAGATGGTCGCTGTCTCACGCCCACGAACCTTTTCTTGCTTTTAGCTCCCCCAGAGGTGTCCTTGTGGTCGTCCAACGCTGTGTCTGGGGTGTTGTTGCTCTCTGCGCTGAGCACCTCTTTATCTATCGAGGCACCTGCTCTCTGTCTCTTCATACTCTTCCCTCCAGCAGCTTGTCCATTCCCCGTACTGCCATGGAGGAACCTACTCGACGCTTTGAACAACGTGGACGTTACACTCGGCTTTCGTGATGCATTGGACCCTGATGACATGGCTCTATAGATTGTGCTCCACAACTCGCACGATTAATCTTTGCACTGTGTATAATCTACATCTGCATACAAACTACAGATGGCCGAGTCTGTGCACGAAATCGTTGTGTTCTGGAACTTCGCTTATTTCTTTACAGTATGTGCTGAATAAGTTGATACCTCTCAATCACTGCTCGGATCCACCTGGAGTAGAATCCTTTGTGCTCGCTACCTTCTACGTTCCTCATAGTGCTTGATTCATCTTCTCGCATGTCACAATCGTAATCAAGATTGAGACCTTACTGCCTAAAGCGTCACGATGACTAGCGCACTCTTCTTATTAAGACTTCTTCTTAAGCTGTTTACGATGAGTGGTACGACAGGAACGATTGTAACAGTTGCAAGGATTTCTATTGACGCGGGCTTCCTGCTTCTCCGAGCTACAAGCAAACACGCAAAAGAGCAATGTGCGGCTAGAACTGCTACAGGCTACTGATCAAGCTGCGAGCCAAAGCAACCGAGGCTGGCTGTTGAAAAGTCTACCCCCAAGCGATGGATATCTGGTCAGAAACGCCTCCCGGATTGGTTTCTCCCTCACTGCACTTGCTTGGGATCCAAGTACACGTCGCAACATCTGTGTGCTTCGTGATAAATTTGACATGGATAGAGCGGATTTTCAAGGCCGTTCCCTCACCCTTTACCGGCGCAATTCAGAGATGCTTGCACGGTGAGCGAGTACAAGGCGTCTTGATCTTCCTAGAAGGAATCCAACCCTGGACCAGGCTTTTTGTTCCTGGCTCCAACAACGTCGTCAACCAAAGATCGTCCGGGAGGGTACTTTGCTGAGAAGCAATGAGCAGCAGGCAGGCAGACAAAGAGATTGTAAGTACCTTCTGGGGATGGCACCGATGGTAGAGAGCGCGCCTCGACTTGCGTCCCACATGCAAGTTCATTGAAAAAGCTGCATCTATCAGCCCAACCCCACCCCCAAAAGCACTCCTTTCTCTCGCCCCATCTCACTACAAGCAATCGTAGCCTCCCGCTCCCACCAGCGACTACTAGTCAACCTCCCTCCTCGACGGCCTCTCACGCTTGCATCCACCCTCCGTCTCTCTCTCTCTCTGGTAAATCGATCCTTTCGTTGGCCACCCTCTCTCTCTCTCTCTCTCTCTCTCTCTCTCTTCTACTAATTCCGCCAAGGTTATGATAGTCAAATAATTCGACTGCACTGCATTAGAATGCGTGGTACTTGCAAGAACCAGTGGAAAAATCTGGCAATGGTCATGGCATGGGCAGGTATATATTACATATGATACTCTCGAGAGTGGGAAAGTACAGGGTACAACGAGCGCTGCAGAAGTAAGACTCTTAACGCATCGGAATAGTCATGTGGCTGTAAGGTACTTGTGAAAATCGTTTGAACATGACAGACCATTTGCTTGTAGCCTTGACGTAGAATGAGTCTGACAGTGGCGTGAACGGGGTACTTGGCCCGATATTCAGTAACTGTCCACTCGGCAAGTATGGTGCCATCGGCACCTTGCCTACTCAGTCAATTGCATCTAACTAGACTCTGGAATAATAGTCGATTTCTGCAAGTTAATATCTCTCATAGGAACATTACCTTGAGTTCTAATGGCAATGCTGAATTCTTAGCCAGACCGCGCAATTTACGATTAATTGTCGATCTATATCTATTGCAGGTGCTTATGCGCAGGATGTTCGATAGATTCCTCCTGTCTCACGAATTGAAAAGCTGGCAATGTGCCTAACCAATCCTCGCACGACAAGAGCCGCGAAGAATATTTTCTCTCAGATCGTTGCGAACTGATAAGCTTGTGGGCCATCCATCGCTCGGGTACGCAAGCCCCTTCAAACTCCACGGATTACTGGTGATCACCCACGCCCAGACTCGTCGAGCCATGTCACGTAAACCCTCCTTTAATATGCTGCCCTTGAATTACTTTACATTTCTTCATCTTTTCAAAGAAAATCGTTTCTTTTCTTTTCTTATCTTTGAGACGTGATTGCTGTCAACTTCTGAGCCGTGAACTTGTACATACAGACATTGATTTATTCGGTAGGCCCAAGCTAGAGGAAAACACCAAGGTGAAACTCGTCAATGTACTTGTCCTACAGAGATAAAACTTCCAGTTGCATGCACGAGAACGCCATGAAGAGGTCGGGAGCGACTGGGTGAGAGTACCAATGGGCGGGGAGTTCCCCAATAGGAAAGAGATAAGGACAAACCTTTACCCAACACAGCCTGTGGGCCATTTCTGCAAGTGTGCTCCTGCTTACATCATCCTCAGACTCCTTCAATTACCTCATTCTCTCTCTCTCTCTCTCTCTCGCTAGACCAGATACCTATCCTCCCAGTCAGGACTCCAGTGCACCTCGTTTGACCCGGTAACTCCACGTCAGACACACCCATCTCTTGAATATTCTCCCTCACCTCCCACAACACCCTTTTGCAGAAGTTCACCCCACCCGCATCACTCTCTCTCTCTCTCGCGTGGTGTTCTCCCTCTCGCCAACTGCTCCTCCATCCAGCTCCTTTATGAATCCTCCTTGTCTGATACTGTGATTCACTACTGATCAGCACTAAAACTGATGCGCTCAGCTGCTGCTGTTGGGCAGTCCCCCTGATAGCCCCCTGCATGCGTGTAAGTAGTAAAACGGGGGGTGGGAGATAGGATTCTTCATCGTCGTCGACCCAGTACACGGCCGGGTCGCGACAACCCAACCCGTGCCGAGGTTGACCCGGTCAGTCAGTCCTCCTCCGGGGGATGGATGTAGTTGTATAATAATAATAACAATAATAATATTCCAACGCAACGGCTACAACAAAAGAATCTGGGCCACGGATATGGGCCCCTATGGTCTCTGGGGTGTGGTGTGTCGCTGGGCTGAGGATGAGGAGGGAGGAGGGCTTGTTACCGTGGTGGAGTGAGTGAGTGAGAGTATGAACGGGCTCTCGGGGATCATGAGCATCGGGGGTCAACCTCAGGGAATGAATTATCGACTGAGGCAACATGACCATGATGTGATTGATGCCTAGAATAGCATGGGCTTTCCTTTATTATTATTATTATTTATTATGAAAAAAGCACCTTTTACTTCATTAAAAGGGTATGCATACCCCCATGTCTTTATGAAGAAGAAGAAGATGAAGAAAAAAAAACCGTTCTGACTTTTTCCTAATTCGAAGCCTCAATAAATGATATATATATATATATATATATATATATATATCATTTTATCGTATCTAAGACAAGACATTGACCACCTGTGTAGTATTTTGTAGGAAAGTTCTGAAAGTGTTGTGTGATTTTCTTCTTCCTCTTCTTCTTTATTTTTTATTTTTATTTGTTTTATTTGTTTTATTTTTAAATTTAACAGATTTTACTTGAATAAATTCTTTTAAAATTTTATGATTTTTTTTAGTCATATTTAATAACGAATTAAGTAACTTTACGATAGTAGTGATTGTGTTAAAACTGTAAGTTTGGCTTTTATTTGATTTTTTTTTATATTATTTAATAATGGTTTGAATTAATTTTGAGATTTGATTTTATACTAATAAACTGCTACTATTTTCATCTCAAAAATCAGAAAAAAGAAATCATTTTGCTCTTACTGATAATATTTGCTGATAAGCTATATTTTGATGCACTTTACACTCCATGGAAAACATAAAGAAAAAATAAAAGAACTGTTTATGAATGTGACAACTACAGTACTAAATTAATAAAAGTGAAGTTTAGACTGAAAATATCAGCAACAATGATTGTTGTTTGAAGACAAATACTTCATGTTTTCTTCTTCTTCTTTTTCTTCTTTTTTTTTTTTTTTTCTATGTTTTCTATTTTGATATATTTCAATTTTGAAACTATCAATGTAACAGGAGGAAAGAAAAGAAAGCTTGTTTGATTATGATATTGAACTCCAATTTATAAATTGATGATAAAAGCATTTTATCATTATTTAAAAAACTTTCATATTATTGTAATGTAAAAGTAACAACTGTTATATACTGTGATACAACCCAAGTAATATAACATTAATTGCTTTCACTCATTGTATTTCTTACTAATGCACTAGGTTTACACCCATTCAGACTATTCCATTTTATTCAAGTCAATAAAATATAACAACACCAATAAAAAAATAAATAAATAAATTAAAGTCAACAATAAATAAAAACTGGAGGCAAAAAAATTCAAGGAAGAAAGTAAATTTTAATAGAGATTTCACTAGTTTTGCATCCTTCCACAACAACAACAACCATAGCCCTAAAAGGGTGAGTTTTGATTTCAGCATTGTGACAACTTCTGTGCCATCCAATGCAACAAATAGTAGCAACAGTGACTTTGTGAGGGAGGGAAGCAAACAAACCTTTGGGCATTTCTGTCCCAATCCTCCCTCATTTTCCTTTAGAGTGCAAGAGGGCAAAGCAAGTTGCAGATCTCAGTGAAGCACTAGAAACCCACTCTCACAGACTGGGTGGTGGCATTGTTGGTGGTGTCTCCTGTCACTGGGACACTGAGGAATGTGGCGTGTACACTACTGCTCCTCCACCTCCTCTTTTGCTGCGCTGCAAGGCCTTGGAGTTTTCATGTAAGGCCCACACTGGCTCACACTAGTGTATTTTTGATGCCCTTAGATTTTGGCTGGATTTTGCTGTCAAATGGGTCTGAGTGTGGGAGAGTGTGTGTGCAGCATCAGCACACAAGTGAATCACATTCCTTGCTTTGGCTAGATATAGAGTGTGGCAGAGCTGAGTGAGATAGAAAGAGGAGGAGCAGAATTAGGTAGATGTGGGTACTTTCTCCAATGCCATGAGAGGATTGAATTGGTCTTTGGATCAATCCACAAGCAACAGCATGCCAGGACTAATTGGTTTTCCTTCTTCATACAATCCCCCCCCCCCCCGCCCCTGTACTTTTTTTTTCTTCCTTCTATTTCCTTACAGTGAAAAGTCCCGACAAACTCCCTGACTCCCTCAACGTGAAGGCCAACAATACGACTAAAGCTTCACTATCCTTCATGAGTCCTCAGCCTTCTCTAAAATCAACCAAGAGGGGAATGCAGTGGGAAAAAAAAAATCCAGATTCCATGATGTGTGTATAAATGACAGACACTTAAATTTATTTATCCTTAATTTTTTGATCAATTGATGTTCTGATACATGGTCAAGGTGATTGAGCAGATGAGAGATTGCAGGGGATATGCTTTTGTTTCATGTGCTGGACACCATTTTTGAAGTCAGGCTCATGTGCTCTTGACCCACAGTGCCAGCAGGGGGGACAGAGAGTGGGTCTAAAGGTGTGGGAGTTAGTTGGGCTTCCACCTGCTTCTAAAATCATCACAACTTGTACTGAGTGATTAATAGCATTCAACGTGTTGAAAGTTCCAAGGCTTTGTAACCAATTGGCAGCATTTCACTTTGAAACGAAGAAAGAAACACTCTACGATTCCATTAAACTCATCAAGGTTACGACATCTTAGATTTCATCAGTTTTTATAGACTCCCAAGCAACTTGGGATTTCAGTTTTATATGAATATAAACATGTAGATAGATGTATTTATTTTGGTTGTCAGGGCTACATTTTCTGCCACAAGAGTGACACCTTTATCCATTCCACTGGGTCACAGCTTGTGATGAGTGTCCAAGATGCCCTCCACATATTTTGCTGCCAAAGCTCACACACAATCCAAGGCTCTCAGTTTTTGGCTCTGCAAGCAACTCCACACAGATATTTCATTCACATTTTTGTGCGTCTTTGTCAAATCCTCGCTTTGAGCGTGTGTGCGTGGCACCAAACTGTTGGGTTCTCAAACATTGTAGTTTAGTTTAGCCAACAGTGGTTGGATCTTTTTGATACTCTTAGAATATCCAGCAACAAGATTTCGTTTCTTTTTCATTTTTGTCTCCAAGGTTTATGATACCTCTCTTCATAGCCTTGAATTATTTGGATAAGACAGTCTTTTTTTAAAAAAAATAACTGTCACCGGAGTAAAAGAAAATGTAAAGAAATGTGTCTCATTGTTACCACCCACTACCGCCTAATGTAATATTAGCGTAGAGTAGTAAGTAGTCTATTCATAATTTTTATTTTATTTTAAATATGACACTTCTTTCCCGTTTCTATTCTGTTGCATGGGATTTAATTTTTTTAATGCAAAACCTCCAGTACAGGTTCAAGAATGCCGCGAACAGCTGGTGGAGATACTGTAAGGCAATCAGGCACTTGCCCCGCCTGGTCTCGTGCAGGAAAAGGTAAGGCCCTTCAAAATGATTATCATTCACTGACAGCATTGGCAAGCACTCAGGCTGTTACTTCAGGCTTAGAGGGGAGCGAGAGAGAGAAAGATAGAAAGAGGCCAGGATGAATTCAAACCGATAGGCTCGGATAGGAGGAAATATGCACAGGCTAAAGGCTATGGATCCTACAGTACTTCCATATCTCTCTTGAAGACAGTGAGGACAAACAAGCCCAGAAATGGACGGCAAAAGGAAAAGAGCAAAACAAAGACATACAAGAAGCTGAAGACAAAGTCTTGGTTCCACCAGAAAAAGGAACGGGCCTTTTCTGCAGTGAACGACACCATTACCAGGCCACCG